GGAGCATTGGGGGGGGGCGGCCCTCCCTCCCTCCCTCCCTCTTCCAGGCATCGCACCTCCTGCCGCCCGAGAGGCGCTCCTGGGGCAAATGGGGGGGGGTCCTTGGGGGCAGCCCCCCCCTCCGCCCCCGTCTCCCGCGTCACCCTCTCTTCCAGGCAGCCTGGGGGACACCCAGTTCAGCTTCCGCTTCCGCCAGTCGGGGGGCTGCCGGCGGGGCGCCCTGTGGGAGGACGGCCGGGACTACGACCGCCAAGCCCCCCTTGGCCTACAGGTCAGCTGCAGGGGCGGGCGGGACGACGGGGAGACTCGGCCAAGCCTGGGCAGCGGCCCTGGCCTGGCAGCAATCCTTGCACAGACGGGGGGGGGCGGGAGAGGGCAGGGTTTGAATATTCCGCCTGCTGAAGTGGAACCAGCGCTATTTCGGGGCAGGAACGCACAGTTGGCCACGCCCAGCAGGAACTCATTAGCATAATAGGCCACACCCAACAGCAGAAACTCATTAGGATTGGCTACATTAGAGGGGTGTGGCCTAACATGCAAAGGAGTCCCTGCTACAAAAAAAGGGCCCTGGGTTTTGACAACAAACAAGGTGAACGGAATAAGAAGCAAAGGGTGGGTGTGGCTGGATGAGCACACTTCTGGTAACATGGGGGTGTGGCCTAATATGCCAATGAGCTGTATTATCATGGGTGTGGCCTAATATGCTAATGAGTTTCTGCTCTAGGATTTGGCCTATTATGCTAATGAGCTCCTGCTGGGCTTTTTCTACAAAAAAAGCCGTGAGTGGAACCCTTTCCCAGGGACCTGTTCAGGGGCTAGAAGGGTTGCCTCCACACACACAGGGTCCCTCGACTCCTCCTTGGGAAAGGGCCACATCCTGCACAGGCCAAATCCTGGCCAAAAGGGAAGGAGGAGGGAAGCCCCTCTCCCGCCCCAGCTCTGCCCCCTTTCTAGATCTGTGGCCTGTGGACGGGCTCAGTCCTCAGGAGAAGAAGCAGTGGTTCTTGGGGAGGCCGGGGGGGGGGAGGCGGAGGCCTTGCCTTTCCCCAGGAGAAGAAGGTTGTGGCTCTGTGTGAGCTAAGCTGCCTTCTGAGGGATGTTTTGGAGCATGATTCTCAAGCTGCCTCAAGTTAAACCCGCCAAGGGAGTGCTGTGCGTGAGGCCCAGGCATGTCTGGGGCTGCTGCTGTTGCTGCTGCTTAGGTGGGGGGGGGGCGCTGCCGGTTTCTGCGTACA